TTCTTGGGCTTTAAGCAACCGACCTAGAGGGTGTTAGTCTTTTAATTTCATATATGCTTTTGGTTTAATTTTCAAATAGGGATGTTAACATATCCATGTCTTAGGAGATTTGAGTTTATCATCTTAGTTAGTGTTTGGCTTTATAAGCTTTGTCAAGTATTTGTATCGAGGCAGTTTTTGAGATTTATATAAGAAAAACCAAAAGATGCAATCCCAAAGAGCTTGTGTCAAGCTAGAGAGGAGGACTCTCATCATCTTTCTTTTAATTAATTTGTCAGCTACCCTATTCCGCTCACACCTCTGCATTACATATGCACATCCATTGTAAGTAAGTCTAGCATTACCAACTACATAATGAATTCGCAGCGTATAATACTTTGGCCAAACCAAAAAAGTACTCCATATTTTTTTTAAGAGTGGTGAATACTCAGCTAGTCCTAAGAATGAAAGATGAGTAAGATAGTGGTACTAGACTTCAACAAAAATAGATCCCACCCATTCAAGGAATTTGGCTGTGCTCAAAGCTACTGTGGAACCAGATCCATGTGAGCTAGCCTCACTCGCTACAATTTCCAACCAATTAGTCCAAATACATTTTTTACGGAGATGGGAATCCCTAGTAGTCTAGGCCCATCTTCGCTTTTGTAGTTTAATAGTCGTCCCATGGGATGTCATTGATCCAACCATAAGATTTTAAAACGCTAAATTTTTATTTTTCCGTCCATAGAAAATCGATGGGATATTGAGAGTTTAAATTATATTCATATGAAATTGGATTATCCCCTTTATTACTCCAAAGATACTGAGAGCTTAAATTGTATTTATATAAAATTTGATTTTTCTCTTTACTGCTATGAACATTGAACATTTATGTTATTTATCCTTGTCTTTTTATTTTGATCAACGAATTGTGAATTTCTCATCTCGCTTCTTATTTGCTCAAAATCAGAAACCTTGTTTGTATACAATAAAACCTCTATAAATTAATACTCGATAAATTAATAACCTCTACAAGTTGGGATCAATATAATTTTTGACACATTTCGATAAAATAATAAGATAATATTTTTTCAAAATCCCATGTAAATATATGGTTCCATTAAAATAAAAATTAATAGTTACATAAAATTATTAATATATATCGATACACATATAAATTTTTTAGTGAAATATGACTATTATGTTGTTGTTTATTCTCAAATTTACATTAAGTTTTCTTAAAATTTAATTCTAGTAGATTTCATATATCAAAAATTTCATAGTGTTTTATTCATGTATGATGATTGTTGTTTTTGTTGTAATTGATTCTAAAAAATATTGATTATAATTACTAAATCTTATTTTTGATGAAAATGATTTAAAAACTTACCAAATGAGGAAAACATTCTATAAATTAATAATTAATTTATCGATAAATTAATATTTCTATAAATTAATAGAATTTGTTGGTCCTAACATTATTAATTTATAGTGGTTTTACTGTACTTTACTTAAAGAATGCGAAAAAATATTGTAATTATGCTATAAAAATCATCAATTTATATTTCTGTAAATATTCGCAAAAAAGTAAAAAATAATTCCAGGTTTTCTACATAAATAATTTATAAGTAGATGCTCTAAATACAGAAACTGTTGTGTGATCTCTCCACTAGCTTTTGTTTTTGTTTATTTGAGAGAAGACAAATGCAAAGTTTTGACTTTTTATTTGGCTGCTTACAAAAAAAGTTACCAAGAGAGAGAGACTTTTGACTTTGCGTAATGCAAAAATAACGGCACCATCAAAAGTGGTTCCCCTCCGCCTCTTAATCTGCCTAAGTTGCCGCTCAACATGCACTATTAGTATAATCTGTTATTTTTCCGGTCAACATTTATATATATTTACAAAATAAATTACAAAATTATATTTTATGTAATAATTTTGTGCAAATTATGTATAAAGAAAATTAAATATGTATTTGGTTTACTTCAAAATTAGCTATAAAATGACCACTAATTTTTTTTAAAATACAGATATATGTAAATCAAATTTTATGTCGCATATTATTATCATAATGTAATTTTTTTTATTTGACGTTTATTATAATTTGTTTTTAACCATTTTCGAATATTTACTTATGCTATAAATTGTACACAAAGTAAATGAAAATGGCAAATGTTAATAGAGTGACTAAGGTTTGGACTAATTGAGTCAACTCAATGCAAAAGTGAAGATCTATTTGTCTAAAACAATAATTGAGTGTTTCATTTAGCCATTTTATAAATTACAAACAACAAACAAAATTCTTAATGGTTTTTTATGTTTATTTATGATATGTCTCAATAACTTACTAAATTAGGATCCGCATATATGCAAAGTTATAATGTAATATTTTAAAACCCTTACAAAAATTTAAAAAATGGAAAAAACAAAATAAATCATCCATGTAATATGTTATAAAATATTGAATATGCTACCAATAAATAATTTAATGAAATTATATGATTTACTTATTTTTATTCTCTCATTTTTTCTATTATATAATATAATAGTTTAATTTATACTACATATCAAATGGATTTTGTTCAATAGCAAAATTAAGTAAAAGAAAACCTTACAGCAAAAACAACAATTATTATTATTGTAAAAAAAATGATTCGATTAACTCAATAACTTTTATTTAATATACTCATTTACTAATCATCATATTTGAAATACATTACTTTAACTCTTTTTTACTCATTTTATAGTAACAAAAAATGATTCGAAATACTCAATTAATATACTCATTTACTAATCATCATATTTGGAATACATTACTTTAACTCTTTTTTTATCCCATTATATAATTAACAAAATTGTAATGATGGGTTTTGATGCGAATAAAGTAAAACATTAAATCTACTTTGACGTCTTCCTTTTATATAAAAACTGTTTAATTTATTAGAGAGATTTCAGATTTGAGATTTGTCAGATATTTTTCTCAACGTGAAGAGAAGCATTTGTACAAAACTACAAAGACGAGAGAGAGAAGAGAAGAGAAGAATCTTGAGAAGACGTTGAGCCTCCTATAAAGCGTGACTCTCTCTTTCTCTCTCTCTCTCTTTCTCGCATCACCGGAAAATCTCACGGCGGCGGCGGCGGTGGTGGTGGTGACGACGATAGTTTGACCAGAGAAATGGCGGCGGAGAATGAGAAAAAATCATCTTCAGCAGTTTCCGATATGGGAGCTTGGGCTATGAATGTGATAAGCTCCGTTGGGATTATCATGGCGAATAAGCAACTCATGTCTTCTTCTGGATTCGCTTTTAGCTTCGGTTCGTCTTCTTCTTCTTCTTCTTCTCCGATCTCACCTTGATTTATCAATTTTTTGAGATCTGATTTTGTTTTCCAGCTACGACTTTAACCGGATTCCATTTCGCGTTAACCGCATTGGTTGGTATGGTATCGAACGCTACTGGACTCTCTGCATCGAAGCATGTACCTATGTGGGAGCTGATTTGGTTCTCCATTGTTGCTAATGTCTCTATTGCTGCTATGAATTTTAGTCTCATGCTCAATTCCGTTGGGTTTTATCAGGTTCTTATGCATCTTGATCTCGATCCTTTGCTTATAGCTTTGATTTTGATGTATTGGATTAGTATATTGAAATTTGAACCAAGTTGCTTTAGTTTTTTGAGTATTGGATTTGGATATATGTTAACTGTGAATAGAATTGGTGTTTTGTGTTGATAGATCTCGAAGCTGAGTATGATTCCTGTGGTGTGTGTTATGGAATGGATTCTACATAGTAAGAGATACTCAAGAGAAGTGAAGATAGCTGTTGTGGTTGTTGTTGTAGGTGTTGGTATTTGTACTGTGACTGATGTTAAGGTTAATGCCAAAGGTTTTATTTGTGCTTGTGTCGCGATTTTCTCGTCTTCGTTGCAACAGATTGTAAGTTTTTTTGATCATTTTTGTTTGTCAAATTTGGTTGTAATCATATCTGATCTATTGTGTGTTTTCGTTGTGTTGTTGTTAGTTAATAGGTTCCCTGCAGAAGAAGTATTCAATTGGGTCTTTTGAGCTATTGAGTAAAACAGCGCCGATTCAAGCTCTTTCGCTTCTTGTTGTTGGTCCTTTGGTTGATTATCTCCTTAGTGGGAAGTTCATTATGAAGTACAATATGTCTTCTGGTTGCTTTGTAAGCATCTCTCTCTCTCTATGGCTCTCTGCTAATATTGTTATGTTATTGTTGTCTAATGTTCTGTCATTTGCAGCTATTCATCCTTCTCTCATGTGCTTTAGCTGTCTTCTGCAACATAAGCCAGTACCTTTGTATCGGGCGGTTTTCAGCTGTATCGTTTCAGGTTATAGGTCACATGAAAACCGTGTGCATCCTTACACTAGGATGGGTTCTATTTGATTCTGCAATGACTTTCAAAAACGTAGCGGGAATGATTGTCGCGATTGTCGGAATGGTAATCTATAGTTGGGCTATGGAATTGGAGAAACAGTCTAATATTGCAGCAAAAGCTTTGAACAGTGTGAAACACAGCTTAACAGAAGAAGAGTTTGGACTTTTGAAGGAAGGTGTAGAAACTACACAATCGAGAGATGTTGAACTTGGTTACACAAAAGGTTAGGCAGAGATGGATAGAGAAACATATAGTCTGTTTTGTTATAATGTGTATGTGTTGTGTTATCTAAACCAAGAGATTGGATCCGCAAAGATTAGTCTAGGCTTCGATCTTAAGTTTACTTGGTTTATACAAATGTTTTTGTGTTATTTATAATCTCTACTCAATTCCAGGGAAATAACTTCAATGATCATACGTTTTTGTTTTACAGAGAACTCACAAAGTATATTGCTTTATTTTTAACTTCATCTTAACCATATTAATTTCAATATATCAAGCTAAAACATATTTACAACTAAACAATTTATAAATTATTATTTTTGACTGTTTATATATTTACAATCCATTAAAATGAAGTAGTGCAAATATTTTACCCACTTATTACCATTTCTAACCAACTTCACTTTTTTTTTTTTTGGTAGCAGAAAAGACTATAAACATACTGTAATTAAATAAATCTACTACCTTATGGAGTAACGACTTCATACATAAATCGACACAAATCTTCCAACAACTCAACAACTTGATTCATGTTAGGCCTTTCTCTAGTCGACTCGTTTATACAAAGACAAGCAATTCTAAAATACTCTTCCACACCCTTCTCACCACCAACAACACATCCAAAATCCAACATTTCATAACACCTACTTCGCTCCACCATGATCACTGCCCATTGAGCCAAACCAACCTCCTTACTATCATCAACAACAACCGGCAAATTCGGCCGTCTCCGCGTCGCCAATTCCAACATCAGAACACCGAAACTATAAACATCAGCTTTAACCGTAGCCGCGGTATTCCCTTCCCAATACTCTGGTGGCATGTACCCCATAGTTCCTGCCACTTGTGTCGACACATGCGACCTCGATGCATCCATACTACGCGCTAATCCGAAATCCGCTATACGAGCCGAGAAATTCGAATCTAACAATACGTTACTCGATTTGATATCTCTATGTATAATCGGCTTCGGTAGTCCATGTAAATACGCTAAACCCTTGGCCACATCGCGTGCAATAGTCACGCGAGTTGACCAAGTCAACGGACTGTTCTCTTCAGTATTCTCGTGTAGCCAATAATCTAAACTACTTTTCTCTAAGAACTCATAGATCAGAATCCGATCCGAACCCGAAATACAAAAACCGAGAATCCGAACAATGTTTGGATGGTTAAGACTACCAAGAGTCTCCATTTCTGCTCTGAACTCTCGGAATCCTTGTAAAGCATCGTGATCGAGTTTTTTCACGGCTACTACGACGCCGTTTAAGAGCTGAGCTCTATAAACGAGACCAAAACTTCCATCACCAATGATAAGATCCGATGAGAAATTCTTGGTTACTATAGTAAGTTCAGCCATGGATATTTCACATATTGAAGGATCGAAGCTAGCGCTTTCGGTTACCTTGTCGGAGGGGTTAAGATCGCGATCGGGGAAGTTATAATTCCGGCGAGGTTGGTCTTCGATTGCAGGACGACGACGACATATGAACGTAACGATTAAGATAAACAAGATGATCAACATGAAGATGGAGCATGAGGCCGCGGCTAGGATTGTTGTGGTTTTGTAATCCATGGAAACTGTTTTGAGTTAATGTGAGAAATGAGAGAGAAAGAGAGATTGAGAAAGAGAGAGTAAGGTTTGATTGATCGGCCATTGAGAGTGACGGAGGAGGAAGAGTAAGGTTTGATTGAGTCGTAGATAAAACAAGTCAACGATTTGTGGTGGACAAGTCTACGCAAGTAGCACGTGTCTTGTTGATATTGGCGGTTATGAGATTAGTGTGAAATGCTTGAAATTTTCTGTTTTTGGTATTTGGAATTGGAATATACGTTGGTGTCTGAAAAAAAACAATAGTATGTTTGTTAGATTTTGTGTTTTTTAGTGTGTACGTTCAAACTGGTTTAATTATTTTATAGCTATAAATCGAAATATTTTTAGTATTTTAATATTAGGCTGGTTCGTTTCGTCACTACAAACTGTTGCATCTCAAATAAACATAACGTTTTTAACCGCTAAATCTAGTCAATTTTTACAAAATTTAATTACGCAATATAGCGTTCGTTGTAATGTCAATTTGCCGCAACTAAACGAACGAAAATACATGCAATTATCGCAACCACATATATTTATGTTGCAAAGCGGACATATCCTATTGAATCTCTATTATTAATCGAAAGTTTTATAAATCCGTTATCAAACAAAATCATTTAATTTTTTTCTAATAAAAACTATAGGATAAAAACCAAAAACCTATTGCCAAACCTCTAAACGTGTTGCCAAACACCCTAAAAACAAATAAAAACCTATCCCATTTTTTTTTCCTTTAAACATGCAAACCGGATTAACCCAATTAATTCGAACCAGCTAAACCGACATAATAATTTAAATCAATTAAACCAAACAATCTCATTAAAGTAAACCAACAATATTAACCAGCGGAAGACTTAACCAAAAATCCAATAAAACAATTCCATTAAACCAACAAGTTCAACCAAACATTATTCCAAAACATGATCATCCTAACATGTTTCTAAATTCTATTCTAACACCCTAATAAATCCAACAATAACCTAAAACACCAATGAGTGCCTAGATCATCCTCCTCTCCTCGCCATGATTCCACGGATCACACTTTGCTTTTACCTGCATCAAAGAAAGAGATGCATAAGTATTTCATAAATACTTAGTGAGGCAATCATCCCACCACTGGCTATACACACAAGCAGAAATGAACACATTCAAGTATAACTCAAACAACCACCAATACAACGCAAAACAACACAACATGACCCGTCCTGACGAGCAGTGTCGATCGACACCATCCGCTGGTGTCGCTCGACACTCGCGATCGTCCTCGCGAGAAAGAAAGTTGGTGTCGATCGACACCCTCCCTTGGTGTCGATCGACACCGAAACCCTAACATCGCTCCAGGCGCTTCTCATCGACGAATCCACCAACTCCAGGACTCCAGGCCTGATCTATCTCCTTCTCAGACTCGTACCAAGACACCATATCACATAGACAAGCATACAAACACAGAAATCAAATATCAATCAGAAGAAACACTCAAAATATGCATCAAAACTGCTTAGATCAGCCTAGTCATGCACTCACCTTTCAAAAGGACAGAACAAGAACGAACAGATCACAACAACAGCAACCAAGGACTCTCCTAACACCACAGCTACGAGATCTCTCTTCCCAAGGACAGAAACACCAAGAACAAGCCTCAAAACACTTCTCAAACCTCACAAAACCTCTCTAGAGAACTTAGAAACCTTTTAAAAGAATAAAAGCGGCCACCTCCCAACAAAACACGACCTTTACTCTTTTAAACGTGACCTAGGGTTAAACCCTAACCAAAACCTCAATTGAACCGACGATTTAAAACTTAAACCGTCAAACCAAAATCACTAGTGTCGATCGACACCAGACCACAGTGTCGATCGACACCACCCGGATTTCCAGACACGGGCGTTACAATTCTCCCCCACTAAGTAGGATTCGTCCCCGAATCCTCCAACACAACCGTCAGTACACAACTGACCTCACCGAGGCCCCTATCTAATCAATATACTCACGTTCCAGACCCTATTTGCTCATACACACCCACCTCCCCCGTCCATAGGTCGCAACCCGTGGATCATACCGGCTCGTCCTCAGGCCTCAGCTTTAGACTACGGTATCCAGGAAGCCTCACCACTTCCCCCGCTCTCAGGTCGCAACCCTCAAGTCATACCGGCTTACTATTAGGCCACCCGCCTTCTAGCTACGGTATCCGGGAAGTCACACGCTCGCTCTCGGGTCGTCACCCTCAAGCGTGTACTCGAATCCTCATCCGAGGCCATCACATCATATCCGAGCAAATAAGTCTAAACGCCCCCGAGCATATCTCTCGATCAGATATACCTCCCGTGGTCCACTTATAACATCGCAATGCTATACTAACCACCACCCCGAGACTTTCCAAAAATAGAACCGTCAAACCCGACACTTTCTATTTTTAGAAACTCGCACATATTTCTCTTACACATGACACAACAAGTCAAATCCAAGAAATACTCATCTTATTAATCTCCAATGTCATAATCATTACACCAAAATGAGAATACAAAAGAGATACAACCAAAACAAAACTCAAAACAAAACAAGCCAACGGTCTACTCCTCGACCTGCTTGTCAAACCACTTCCGGAACCTTGCCTTCATCCTGGCCACTGGCTCCCACGTCTCCTCCAAGACTCCATCACAGTCCCACTGGACTCTCATAAAAGGAATCTTCTTACGTCGAAGTTCCTTTACCCGCCTCTCGAGAACCCTCACTGATCTCGCCTCCAAGGTCATGCTAGGCTGAAGATCTGCCGGGATCGTAGCCAACACCTCATCATCCTTGTGAAGACACTTCCTCAGCATCGACACGTGGAATACCTTATGAAATGCATGCATTACCTCAGGTAACTCCAACCGATAAGCCACCGGTCCAACCCGCTCCACAATCCTGAAAGGACCCATAAACCTCGGACTCAGCTTAGTCTCAGTAAGGGACCTGTTAGGACCACGCAACATCGCCATCTTGAGATACACCATATCTCCAACCTCAAACTCCAACTCTTTACGCCTCTTATCAGCATAACACTTCTGCCGATCCGGCGCCTCTCTCATGTTCAGCTTCAGAACCCGAATCTTCTCTGAAGTCTCCTGAACAAAATCCGCACCATA